AAGCATGGAAAGTATTGAGAACTCTAAGTCGTTTTCGTTGGTGGGATGGATACACCTCCCAAAATGTTTTTATCTCTAAGTTTTTCGCTTTGAGCTCTGGCACCTCTACAAATTCCCACTTCCCTTTGTGAAGGGCCTTTCTTTTACTTTATGCAATTTTTATTTTTGAATTTGAGTCTCCATCTTCTCTTATAAAAGCACCAACTAGGAGGCAATATGATCGTACTTGAGTATTGGGTGTAGCTAATATGCGAGTGTGTTTCATGAATGGATCAATGATTGAGCATGATGGACTAGGGATAACTTATTTTAGCGTTGCTATTTTTGAAAGACATGGTTGCTTATTGATATGCTTGATTATTTAAATTATCATGTCAAAACTAGACTATTGCTTTGAACAATATAAAAGTCCAAATCCAAATGTCCATGCTATAAAGAAAACAATATGATATGACATGTTATGCAGCATTCCATGTCAAAAATTCTATTTTTATCACTTACCTACTCAAGGACGAGTAGGAGTTAAGCTTGGGGATGCTGATACGTCTCTAACGTATCTATAATTTTTGATTATTTCATGCTGTTATATTATCAATCTTGGATGTTTTATGATCATTTTATAATCATTGTTTTGGTACTAACCTATTGACATAGTGCCAAGTGCCAGTTGTTATTTTTTACATCGCAAAAAATTAATACCAAACGGAGTCCAAACACAACAAAACTTTACGAAGATTTTTTTGAATCAGAAGGAACATAATGGGCCCTGGCTGCGCCTAGGGGGGTTGCTCTGAGGAGAGCACAACCCACCAGGGCGCACCAGGAGGCCCAGGCGTGCCCTAGTGGGTTGTGCCCACCTCGGGTGCCCCCCGGACCGCCTTTTTGCTCTATAAATACCCCAATATTCCAGAAACCCTAGGGGAGTCGACGAAATATTGATCCAGCCGCCGCAGGGTCCAGAACCACCAGATCCAATCTAGGCACCATCTCGGATGGGGTTCACCACCTTCATTGGTGCCTCTCCGATGATGTGTGAGTAGTTCTTTGTAGACCTTCGGATCCGTAGTTAGTAGCTAGATGGCTTCCTCTCTCTCTTAATTCTCAATACAATGGTCTCTTGGAGATCCATATGTTGTAACTCTTTTGCGGTGTGTTTGTTGGGATCCGATGAACTTTGAGTTTATGATCAGATCTATCTTTTTATATCCACTAGTCAATGTGTACGTGCAATGCACGTTAATTTAGAAGTATATTAAATGCATGTGAATATTAAGTAGGATATTATCTGCGTGTTATAATGTGATTAACGCTATTTCGAATGAAATTAACCGCACATTAATTTGGAAGTATATTAAGTGCATGCGGATATTAAGTATGATATTATTTATTTGTGTGTTATTATGTGATTATCATTATATTTGGCATGAAATTAACTGCACGCTAAACGTGTTGAGCGCTTGGCATTGAAGCAGTCTAGGTAGTTGGATTGACATAATTTGATGGCCGAGATTAATTGGATCTGTCCCTTTGGGCCTTTTTATATTGGTATAGATGAAAGTATTTGAGTTTCTTTGGTCTCTTTTATGCATGATTGCTTATAGCCTCGTATTTCTTTTCTGGTATTTAGGTTTTGTTTGACCAACTTGATTTATTTATCTTGCAACAAGAAGAGGTGCTTTGTAGTGTGTTCGATCTTATGGTACTTGATCTTACGGTACTTGATCCCAGTGACAGAAGGGGAATCAACACGTATGTATTGTTGCTACTAAGGATAAAACGATGCGGTCTATCTCTACATAGATAGATGTTGTCTACATCATGACACAATTCTTATTGCATTACTTCGTTTCTTCATGAATTTAATACACTAGATGCATGCTGGATAGCGGTCGATGTGTGGAGTAATAGTAATAGATGCAGGCAGGAGTCGGTCTACTAATTTTGTACGTGATGTCTATGTAATGATCATTGTCTAGATATCATCATGAGTATTCAAAGTTCTATCAATTGCCCAACAGTAATTTGTTCACCCACTGTTTGCTATTTTTCTCGAGAAAATCCACTAGTGAAACCTACGGGCCCCGGGTCTCTTTCTCATATATTTGCCTTTGCGATCTATTTTTCTTTTGCATTTATTTTCAGATCTATTAAACCAAAAACCCAAAAATACCTTGCTGTAATTTATTTTTACTTATTTTATTTGGCGTTCGATCTATCAATCTATTACAAATTTACCCCACGTCTGTTTGCCTACCTTGAGGCGCTGTACCCCGAAAGGGATTGACAACCCCTTTAACACGTTGGGTTGGGAGAAGTTGTTATTTATGTGCAGGTGCTATTTACGTTGTATTGCTTGGTTCTCCTACTGGTTCGATAACTTTGGTTTCGTATCTGAGGGAAATACCTACTGCCATTGTGCTACATCATCCCTTCCTCTTTGGGGAAATACCGACGTAGCTTCAAGCGACATCAGGTCCAATTAACCCGAGACGCCCAAAAAAGCCACCAGAGCAGCGGCCCAGGGCGGGACGTGATCGTTGATAGCGAGTGATTTATAATGATTCGCAGCAAATCTAACGGGCAAAAATGCTCAAAATCGATGATTCGATGAATATAAATGCTAATGGACGTATCACTGTGCAACTGAACCGGACGAGGCAATTGAGGCGACCCCGCGCCGCCGCCCGGCGAGGCCCTGTCCGAACCTAGTGCAGTCGCCATGGGATCCGTAACTCCGACTTTACTCACGACCCAGGTCGGCCGTCCATAGGAAGAGCCGCCACACGAGGGGAAGGGTGGGAGGCGAACGATGGCTTCACCACATACTGGAGGCTGCAACGGGCTCATTCGGCCCAATTAACCCGAGACGCCCAAAAAAGCCACTAGAGCAGCGGCCCAGGACGGGATGCGATCGTTGATAGCGAGTGATTTGTAACGATTCACAGCAAATCCGACGGCCAAAAATGCTCAAAATCAATGATCCAACGGATATAAATGCTAATGGTTTGAGAGGGCTAGAAAAGTGCTCAGTTATAATGTATCTGAATTACGTGTATGATATTTTATGTTCTACTCCCTTCATCTCAGTTTACTAGGCTTGCACGTGTATCTAGATTGTCAATTTAACTTATATAAAATAAATTGTTTAACATAAAAATTTATATCATTAGGAAAAAGAATATCTAAAGTTTCTAATGATATATTTTTTGTAATGTATGCATGTTAGTAAGTTGGTCAAATTAACGACTAAACTGAGATGGAGGGAGTACAGCGTAACATGCATGAGTATTTTATAAACAATTCGAAGTTCCGTAGTTTCACCACGCACTGTTGGTTTGAATTTGAATTTTAGTCCATCGGTAGCCCCTCCATAGAAAAGCACTCCGTTTTCCAGAAACGCACCCCGGTTTTGGAAGTAATTACCTAGGACTGCCACCGCGTGCCCCCCAAACCCCCGGCCGCCCGCAGCCGCAGGGTTCTCCTCCTCATCACTCCCCCGAAGCGTTGCGCTGCGGCTAGCCTCTCTCTCTCTCTCCCCCTCTCCCCCGTGCGCGACAAGCGGCTAGGGTTTCGCCCTCCCACCCCCGCTCCGCCGTCGCCGTCCTTGCCTCCCGCCTCCCGCATACCATCCCCGCCGCCGTTCCTCGCCCCTCCGCCGACCGCGTCCTCTGCCGCCGGCTGCTTCCACCGAGCTCCCGCGCCAGCAGATCGACGCCGCCGGGCCCGTCCGCCCCGACTCGCCGCCGCCCAGCTCGTCCCCGGCCTCCAGCTCGCCTCCGCCCAGGTTAGACCTCCCTCTCCAACTCGCCGCCGACTAACTTCCGTATAATATTCAGCTCGGAGCAAGTGACCCGTAGATTGGTCCCCCACAGATAGGAGGCCCTCGGCGGGCGCCTGGCTGGGATTTGCCCCGTTCGATTGCGAGTAGTGCGGTAGCGGTTCTGCCGAAGCAATGCTCTGACTCTCTAGCTGCTAATTGCCCTTCCTGACAAACAAAGCGTGTGCAATTTCTGACAACCAATGATTTATAATTGTATTTAGGGTATGCGGTTTCAAATTCGAATTGTTGGATGATTAGGGATGTTCGAATTTACTCCAAATAGAAGAATGGCAGGAAGGGGTGGGGCTAACCCTTATTTTGGTAAAGGAAGGAGTGCCTGGAGCGTTGGAATATTTTAAATTGATAAACACCTGTGTTTCGTGGAATGTAGACTCCAGGAATTTTGCGTCTCTTAGACTAAACTTCTTGTTTCCGTAAGATTAGCGCATTGGCACACAGACTTGCTGAATTTGAATACTGTCATTGTAATCAACTTTATGTAGCAAAAACATGTGCAGTTTGTGACAGCCAATGATTTCTGGTTATAATTAGGGCATGCGGTTTCAAAATCGAATTGCTGGATGATTTAGGGATGTTCGAATTTACTCCAAATAGAAGAATGACAGAAAGGAGTGGGGCTAACCCCTATTTTGGTAAAGGAAGGAGTGCCTGGAGCGTTGGAATATTTTAAATTGATAAGCACCTGTGTTTCTTGGAATGCAGACTCCAGGAATTTTGCGTCTCTGAGACTAAACTTCTTGTTTCTGTAAGATTAGCGCATTGGCACACAGACTTGCTGAATTTGAATACTGTCATTGTAATCAACTTTATGTTGCAAATTTAACAGTCTCTGTTATGTTACCCTGCAACACCCTCATTGCTGTCATGTTATCCTGCAAAGTCCTCTCGTTTTAGTCCCGACGTCTCTTCATAGTGATTTGACCTACAGAGATTTGAGCTGGGCTTTACTATACCTTCTGGTAGCTGATTCTCTTCATCAATTTTCATCAGGTCTGTACTCTGAGAGTTACTTCCATTTGCGTTGAAAGCTCTGCGGGTCACTTTGACAGGGTTTGTGCAATTACCCTGAACAGACTTGGCAGAAGTGTGCTTGTGAGGTCTTGTGTTTCTCTTCTCGTATACGAGCCAACTGTGGGCAAGAAGTCTTCTTGATTGAGGGATGCCGACAAGAAAAAAAGGACCTGCAAGAAATGCAACTGTTGAGCATGTTAATACGAAAACTAGTAGACAACCTGGAAGATCCACTCAGTCGGCAGCTCCTGATAAGAAAGTCAATGATCTAATTACTTCTTCCTCCAAAAAGCAGAAACCTGGTAAAGTTCCCCCACCTTTCATCCCCCCTCTTACTGTTCTGTGTTATGGTGCAACTTCATCTCTAGTACAGTATCCCATATGACATTAGTTGATAGAAAATTGGACAGAGGGCAAAGATAAAATATATTTATGGTCACTATCCAACTTGTCATATACTGCCATTTGTCAGTTCTCTTGTTGTCCAAACTATTTTTTTTATGTATAAGTATCTTTGACACACCATCTTATGCACAATTCAGTTTAGTGAAGCAAGATTTATCTCTCCTTTCTTGAGCATGAAAAGGTAATATACCCCTTAGCAAGCTTACTTCTTTGTTGAACCTGATGACTTCACTTCACTTTTGGCAAATGTTCTTTGTGTGATTATTCCTTCAATTGGCTGGAGTTGGTTTGGGAGAATGTAATATTATGAACTTTTAGGAGGTTGGCTACCTGGTATCTACTGGAGGTGTCTTAGTTTTACGCTAACATTGCTCTAATTGTTGACTCCGCAGCCGAAGACCCTCTGAAGAAGAACCAAGTTCTCAGTGGTGGAAGAAAATTAACATCTCTATGTGATTCTGATACTGAAAATGGAGTTGCTGATGTGCCAAGTAGTAGTATGCTTGATCACAAGGTATGGCTCATTCTGGTTTAAGTGAGTTATATATACGATCTGGCTTTGTCTGCCGTTGTTATCATGCAGTGCAGTCCAGCAAAGATGATAAATTGAGCTGAAAACTGAATACCGTCTCTTTTAAATATTCTTTTTCTGCACAGCAACATTTTGGGATGTAAAAACAAAATATTTAAGTCCTTAATAAGCTATACCTGAGATATGTGTATGCTGTAGGTCTATTTTTCTCATCTCCAAGACTACAACTATGAACCTCATTGTGCAGCAATCAATTAATTCTGTCTCTGTTCTTTACTTTACATTCTTATACATCTATTTGGTCTTTTTTTTTCTAGCTGTCTCACGGAAATGATGATGAACCATGTGAGAACATATTTTCTCAACCATTCCACCATCATAATGAAGACGGCAGTGATGGCTTGAGCAAAGGTACACACAATTAGAACATTGAGATTCCCTCTAAACGATGCTGTTTGAATATTTTGCCATCTTATGATGTATCAGTGTGCTACATTAATGCATAAGCCGTTAGTATCTAGTAACTTGGCTGGTATGGCTTCTTATTTTCCTCGATGTCTTGCGTATCTATAAGGTATATATGCGCATAGCACCACATCCTTTCCCTAATTTATAAATGTATAGGTCAATATGTACTTAGATCTGTCCCATAGTCAATGTAACCTCACCTTTGTGGAATATTTGATTTATATTAACATTATCAAGCTCTTTTATGAAGCAGATATGTAATTTCTGACACTCCTTTATGAGTCGTAACAAGTAAAAGTTTCAAAGTCCTTAGTCACTGTATTTGCTTTGCCTTTCCCTGACTAATCTAGACTGCATGCAATTTTTCTGTCTTATTTGTTTTATTGTATGGCTGCAGTGGTATTTTAAGAACTTGGTAGATAAAAAATTAAAGTACGCCCTCCGATCCATATCAATTGTCGCAGGATTGTACTAAATCTGCGACAATTGATATGGATCGGAGGGAGTATGTAAATTAGTTATTTTTTATTTGCATCCTGTACTGTGAAAAATGTGATTATTTATGCCAACACAACACCGTGTAATTCATGTACATTAGCAATTTTCAGATCCATGTTTGAATTTTCACATCCATGCATATAATCAATAATAAGTATTCCTTTGTAAGTGGCTTGACACTCTTATTGCAGTTCCTGTGCAATCAACATGTGGTAATACAAAGCGCGCAGATGATGAGTACAGTGAATTGGGTAGTCTTTCTCCCGAGGTGTCTGCTATATATCTTGCAATGCAGCACTCTAAGCTGGAGTGTATTGATGAACAAAGTCAAGATTCTATCTCAACAGATGGCGGGTGTGCTGATCCTGATGAGACTGAGGAGCTTGATGAGTTTGACCCTTATACCTTCATAAAGGATTTGCCTGAGTTATCTATGGTTGTACCCAAGTTTCGACCCGTTCTTCTTCCAAAGCAAACTCGGAGCTGCCCTCGAACCACCCTTGTCCTTGATCTGGATGGTAAGATGATTGTTTGGGTGAATATTTTTATCTCTGATATATGCTCTTGAGTATTGACGAAATATCTTGATGGAATAACTATTTTAAAGATGTTTCTTCTGTGAATAATGAAGTAAATATTACCACTTCTCTACATTACCCCCTCTTTTCCTGTTATGAGCCATTCAAGTCGTTAAAGCAATGATTAATATGATCAATATCTTTAGTACTCCCTCCGCCTCAAAATTCTTGTCTTAGAGTCGTCTAGATACGGATGTATCTAATACTAAAACGTTACTTGATACATCCGTATTTAGACAAATTTAAGACAAGAATTTTGAGACGGAGGGAGTACAAGAGAGAACATCAATTACATGCATCCAGTTAAGGCAAGGGTGCCAAATGAAACAATTGTGGTAAATTTGTCAGAGGTAGTAAAACGAATAGTAATGGCAGATGAAAAAAAGTGAACATGATTTCACATGTTTGTTAGTCTTATGGGTACTGCAACATGATCATCATTATTTATGTACTATGTTCATTATTTATTTGTTTATGTACTATTCACATAACTATGAACTTGTTACTTAATGTTAGCCAAGTGGGATTTTGTGGCTGTGCACCAATCTCTGGTCTTTTTGGTTACGTCTTTCTACTTGTTCTATCAAATGGAATTATATTTGGTGTTAGTTCTTATTTGTAACCATGGTGTTTTACGTTCATTATGTATTCAGTGTTAACCTAACCTGAAGCTATTTCCATAATGTCATGCAGAGACACTGGTGCATTCTACTCTTGAGCCGTGTGAAGATTCTGATTTCACTTTCCCAGTTCATTTTAATCTCAGAGATCACACAATCTATGTACGGTGCCGTCCATATCTGAAAGATTTCCTGGAGAGAGTAGCCAGCATGTTTGAGATAATCATCTTCACAGCTAGTCAAAGTATCTATGCAGAACAACTACTTAATGTTCTTGATCCCAAAAGAAGGTTGTTCCGTCATCGAGTTTATCGTGAGTCTTGTGTCTATGTGGAGGGCAACTATTTAAAGGATCTATCTGTTCTTGGGCGTGACTTGTCTCGTGTTGTCATAGTTGACAATTCTCCGCAGGTATTTGTTAAACCATACACGTTAGTTATTCATGGATTAGTTCTTTCTCCTGTTCGAATTTTTCTGGAATGCTATTGGAGCCAATCTAGTCTTAATGATTTTATTAGCACTGGTCTTCATTACAGCTATTTTTTTTACTATAAACAGTAGGGTAAAAACCCCACTGCTACAGCTCAATTTTATCCTGGTTTATGGTCATGATGTTTGGGTCTGACTCTTCTTGGTTGTTCCGAAATAGCAACATGAATGATCTATCCGTAAAACCTATCTTACTGGCTAGTGCCTTAACTAGTTTCCTTCAGTTTTGAACCTTTCACCTTACTATTACTTGTGAAGCATTTTCAGTTGGAATATAACCTTCCACTTTACTTTTTCACTGGGATTGATTGCCCCAGGAAGAAACTTGATCATCCCTTTGCTGAGCAGCGTTCCTGTTGTGGCTCCTCAGTAGTAAGCAGCAGTATCATGGGTGTAGTTAATTCCTCCTTGCTGTGCAATGAGATTCTCATAAGTTACTATTTCTTCATTCTGTTTTTGTGTAGCAACGAGTTTCCCCTTTATTCTCTGCTAGTACTACAAACACACATGTTAGCAGATGAAGCAAGAGGTCTTTTATGATATATTCTTGCTTTCAGGCCTTTGGGTTCCAACTAGACAACGGCATACCGATCGAGAGCTGGTTCGACGACCCAAACGACAAGGAGCTGCTAGCACTGCTGCCATTCTTGGAAAGTCTGGTTGGGGTGGAAGATGTCAGGCCATTCATCGCAACTAAGTTCAACCTCCGCCAGAAGGTGGCCAGCGCGACTTCCCTCGCGATGCACTTCTTTCCTAATGCGGAGCGTGCCAACTGAAGCGCTCCGACAGAAAACAAAAACAGGCAATCAAGTGCTCGTAAGGATATCTGAAATTCAGAATCCTTTGTTGTCGTGGTACAATCATGTGTCATTTAATTTTGAACCGCCAGACAGACGGATGTATAATTTGGGCTGTTGTATGTTTCTAAACACCGGTAATCTTTAGGGAACCTTGTACAAGCAGTAGCCAGGACCCAGAAGGGTTGTCAGTCAGTGACCATGTTGCGCGATGGATGCGCAGAACTGCCCAGCATTGTAATAGGTCAGCAGACATTTGTCGGAATTTGTTGTGCTCGCTAAAGTTGTGTTGCAGCATGTAGTTTCCAAGTAGAGTACGCAAGTCAGTGAGGATTTTAGCTGCCAATTGAGCATTTTAGCTTTTATATCCCGGTGGTAATATAGCTTTCGTCTGCTGTGCTTGAATCTGTGCATTTTAAAACCGAACAAAAAAAAAACATGCCAAGAAAAACCAAAGCTAGTATCTTTTTTCGGGGTTCATGGTTTACAGTATGGTGTATATATAGAATCTATATAAAGATCATACAATGGTCGGGTTTCTTGGGTATAAAATTGATTTTGTTCTCTTTTTTATTGCTTGGTTATTTCGATTTTTTTGAGGGGTGATTTCGATTTTTATTGACAATTACCGGGTGAACAGAAATTATCGATTGGAGGAAAGCACAGCCCGGCCCACTGTAAACCGCTGCTGGTGCTGTTGTACAGTCCACCAGCCCACCACACTCTCCCCTCAAAAAAAAAAAAAACCAGCCCACCACACGCTCACGGAGAGCTGGCGGTGGTGAGCCGCCGCCAAGCACCAGGGTCGGCGGCGCGGGAGGAACGCAGCTTCGACCACAGAGCGCACCAAGAGGACAAGCAGATGGCTAAAACCGGCCACTGGTAACGCGAAGATGAATGTAGATGGTGGGGTCTCGAGGAATGGAGCACGAGGAGCAGCGGCTGTTATATGCAGAGATGAAGCGGGAGCTTTTTTGGGAGCTTCTGCAATTGTTTTTGATGGCCTAGTGGATCCACCAAGTCTGGAAGCACAAGCATGCAATGAAGCTTTAGCGCTAGCCAAAGATCTGAATTTGCGGAGAGTTCAGGTGGCCTCGGACTGCCTAGAGGTTTTGAACAACATCAACAAGGGTGGAGCGCCTGTGTATGGTCCGGTCTTGCACGAGATAAAGGATCGGGTGAATGATCTTGAGTTTGTTAAGTTTTCTTTCGAATTTCGTGAATCAAACTATGAAGCTCATGCTTTGGTTAAGGCTGCTACTTCTCTGGCAGTCGGGCGCCACTTGTGGTTAGGGATTACACCCAATATCGTCTGTATTCCGCACTATGTTATTAATGAATAAAATCCCTTTTGCCCCTCAAAAAAAAAAAAAACAAGGATCGGCGGCGCGCTAGGCCGCTAGCCCCTCGCTCCTCCGCCGCCGCTCCACCAAACTCGCCGCCTCCCCTCCCTCGGGGTGGGTGCTGCTGGGCGACCTGCCTGCAGGTGAGAATAAAATTGCCTGCCGCTCCTCTGCTAGTGCTGCACAGTACACACTCTGATTATTTTGTGTTCTCACTTGTTGAGATCATCAGATGGCCGTACCCTTCCACCATGTAACCAAGGTTTCGAAATGCATGAGATTCAGATTCCTGAGAACCCTAACACCCACATTGGCAACAAAGGTGAAGAGGCACGATACTAGCAGTAGACGTTGGTTCTACTTGTGTTTTCTCTAGAGTTATGTCGCGAGCGGAACCGCGGATTGCATAGCCACTGTCGGTTCTTCTGTTAACTTTTATGCCTCTAGTGTTTTATTAACTCTATGAGTAGTACACAACACACTAGTGATAAACAAAAGTATTGATACCGTATAAACCGATATCCCGTATTTACTGAACCGAATAGATCAAATGCACACATTCATGTGCTGTATCTAGCTATGCTTCTTTTCTTCTCTTTTCTTTTCTTCTGTACGGGTGACCCTAAAGATGTAGCGGATATAGTCTCCAATGCCCAACTGTCAAACACACTCCAACTTGCAAAATAGTCTCTCTGCATCTATGCTTGAAGAGGGCAGAAGGCAATGCCTTTTCTTTAGGGAAAGCAAAGCAAAGTGCTTGAAAGAACTAAAAGAGAAGCCCACAAAACAGATCAGGAATGAGTCACATTATCTGCAACTGCAAGCAAGGAACAAATGCTTTGGGAAAACACGGAAGCGAAAGTGGGGCAAAACAAAAAGCTCATACCATGCATCACCACTGCACCCATCTACCAAAACATATGCTAATTGCCCCATCTTGCACTACACTCTGTTCCCAAGCTCTGCCAGCTGCAGGCAAGCGAAAACTTCTTTCAACTCCAGCAAGCCACATGATTGAGTGATACATCTCCACCTTGGACTAAGTACGGCTGCATCTTGTGCACACATAGACATATGTAAGTTTGTTTCCCTCGTAAGTTTTTGCAGCGTCACATCCAGAAATTTAAGCATCTGATCAGCTTTTGTTATTTTTGCAGCGAGTGCGCAAAATCTGCGGCCAATGGGTTAGATATGTTCTTCGCATGGATTTCTTATACTTCTGTGGTGTTAGTTTTGATTGGAGGAAGATGGTCGGGTGATCTGCATCTGGAGTGGATTTTTTTTTTGAGATATTTGTATTTGTACGTGCAACTCTTCTTACTCGTTGAATTGATCTGCCTACGGCTCTAGAGGTATTATTACTCTCTCCGGCATCAGAAAAGTTGATGTTTTAGACATGATTTCACATACAGATATAATTATTCTCCATACTACTCCCTCCGTCCCATAATATAAGAGCATTTTTGACAAAAATGCTCTTATATTATGGGACAGAGGAAGTAACTCCACAACTCAGTAATTCTGGTGTAATACTTTCTACAATTTGCTTCAACATCAGCTTTTTTTATACTGGAGGAAGAACAATGCATATTGTGTGTAGACATAACAGATCGTCTTGCCATAAGTTTTGTCTGTGTTTAATCTGCTTCGCAGATCAAGAGATGTTACATGTTATAACCTCAGCCAGATCTGTGTGTTTTTCTTTTGGAAAAAACTACCAGATTAGGAAATTCAAATCCAAAATTCTAGTTTTCTTTCTGGCGTCTGTATAGCTGCCCCCATGAATATCTAGAAATATAGAGCTTGAAACAGATTTTTTTAAATATCGATGAAAAAAGGAAATATTCCAAAATTCCAGTTTTCTTTCTGGCGTCTGTATAGCCTTCCCCTGAATGTCTAGAAAATACAGAGCTTGAAATAGATTTTTTTTTCAATTTTTTTGATGAAAAAACGAAATATAAATAAGCGATGCACCTTTTTGTGATTTCTTTGTTACAACCGTGTGTATGTGCTAGCAGTTCTTTTTTTAAAGTTAAACATGTTGCAAGATAATAGTCTCTTGGCGTGTATGCATGCTTAAAGGAGGAAGAGACAAACCCTGCTCTAAAGAAAGGCCACAAAAATCTGCGACGTGGGACGATGCCAAAAGCTCCCACCATCATCATACACCTGATTATCGACTGATATCACTGCTCAATCTTGCAGTTCATTCTTCTGTTCGTGAGCTCTTTCACCATCTAAGAAGACCAAGTTGGCTTACTTTTCCATTTCAAGTGATATTTCTTCACCTGGGACTGGATTTCTTTTAGACCACTTTTCTTTTCTCCTCAAATCTTCTTGGCTCTTCCTCCTTTACTTAATCATTAGGTACAAGCTTGTTTTGTCATATGTATTTCCTTGATGCCAGATCGTGAGTTTGACGAGCTTCTAACTCTTGTAGGTAGTGAAGAGATTAATCTGCAGCCAATGGGTTAAAGCATTCAGTCATGGTTTTCTTCTGCTGAGGGTAATTAACTAATTATTGGTTTTGCTGTGGAGCTTCAGAATGGCTGCTGAACCACCTGAACGTACTCTGGTTGGTACCTCTTCTCCTTAATAACCTCACGATGTTGTTGTTTTACATCCTTTAACCTTAACGAAAATCTAGTCTGCATGAACGAATCATGGTCCTGCTCCTGCTTGAACAGTTCTGGACTGCCACAGCCCATGAGATACCATTACCAATAAAGGATATAGTTCTCCGTCCTCAAATAAGTGTGCATATAGAAATTTTAAGACAAATTATGAAGTGGAGTACCAAATGCATTGGGAAGGTGCAAGCCACCATCTCTCTTCTCTTTAATTACCCCCACCTCCAATGAGCTAAGTGAGTGTAGAAATTGAGGAGACCATGTGTTGAACGTTTTTTGTGTGATGAGAGAATCATTTTTTTTCTACTTTAAAGTGCATTGAGGAGATAGAAGTACACTCTTGTGGACAAATTTTGATTGCTAAATGTACACTTATTTGAGGACGAGGGAGTATACATTTTGTGTGGAAAACAACATGTTGCAATAAGGTTATTTTCTTCATTACTATGTTAGTTTCACACTAGTAGAACTTCTAATTAAACTGGGCACATGTCTTGATTTATTAATTAAGATTGCAACATTTGTTGTTTTAGCTTATTAATTTAGCAAAATTGCTAATAGTGTCAGTATGTGTACTTATTTGGTAGTCATATCTAACAGTCATACGTTAATTACTACAGTGGGTAAAAGATTTCGATGACGCTGTTGAGCAACTGATTGATCTTCTGCATCATGGCGATGGTATTGCAGAAGGCAAAATAAAAGCATTCTTGTTTAACGGCTGGTTCGGCGAGGGTCTGGGAGCATCCGCCGTTCTTAGAGCTACAGCAGAACACCTCAAGTCCAAAACAAGTGATCCAGACACGAAACTGCAGTTTGATAAAATTGTGCAAGTCGACTGCTCTTTGTGGAAAAATAGAAGGACCATGCAGCGTCAAATAGCGGCAGAACTGAGCCTTGGGCATTTAATGCCTATTTTTGATAAGCAAGACGAGGACGATGATTTCAGAGGAGTAGATGACAGTTCTAGAGCAGAGATAACAAGCATAGCAAGTGAGATCCATGA